TGTAAAATCTCAATTGAATATTCAATAAAGATAGAGGCATGGCCTCACCATTAATATTTAAAAAAAAAAAAAAATAATAATAATAAAAGAAACACTTAACTAGTAATAAACAAGTATTTAAATCAAATATTTTAATTATATAAAAAATTATATTTTGTGCTAAAATATCTTAATTCTTCAAAAATAACTAAATAAAAACAAAAACAAAATGAATTAGTTTTAAGTAATACAAAAACAGATTCTAGAGCCTCTAAGCTTCTAGTAGTGCAAAAACAGGATGCCCACCAACAGGTGTTCTTTGAAAAAGGTTTATTAAAAGATAATGGTTATTAGGAAGGAAGCTGCTCATTTTATGAAAAATTTTATTTATATGCAAAACTATATACATTGCATATGCATCTAGCTAATAGTTGTTAAAAGGTTCCTGGAAAGTATCACTATTATTTTAATTATATTATAGTTAATAATTTAGAAGATGTTTTAACTGATGAACCTCTTTATAGCATGTCAAATACTGTTTTACCTTTAGTTAAACAAAAAAAAACAGCTAAACAACCTAATATAACTAATTGGTATAACTTTACAAAAATTGAACCATCTAAGCAATTAATAATTGATGAAGCTATAGTATTAGCTTTTATAATGTGTGGTATTCCTTTTTATATAATTAGTAACTTTTTTTTTTATAAATGCTCTAAACCTTCTTAAAGCTGGCTATGAAGTTCCATTACGTGAAGTTCTTTCTAAATGTCTATTAGATACTAAAATTGCAAAAATTATTAATAAAGTTGATAAAATTTTGGATCATACTAATAATCTTACTATTGGTATTAATGGGTAGACTGCTCTTAATGAATTATCTATTTGGAATTTCATTATTATAACATCATTAAGACAAGAATATTTTTATAAACTTGGAAATTATTTTAACCAATTTTATACAGCAGAATTTTTAGCTAATCAAATTGAAAAAATTATTAATCATATTGGTGATAATAAAATTTCAGCAATTATTAGTAACAATAGAGCCAATATAGCAGCTGCATAACATATAATTTGTTCAAAATATAAAAATATTATAAATATTCAATGTATCACTTATTGTTTTAATTTGATTAGTAAGGATATTATTAAATATACTTTTGCAGAAAGAATGATTTAACATGCTAGCAAAATTGTAAAATTCTTTAAAAAATTATATAAGGTTGCAGCTATTTTAAATTAAATGATTATACAAAATCAAATTAATGATGATGATCTTAAAACATATGTTGAGACAAGATGGACTAATATATATGAATGTATTTCTTTAATTGTGCAACTTAAAACCTGTTTAAAAGAAATTCAAGAAAATCATTCTAAAATTATTAGTCTTACAATTTTAACAATTCTTCATGATCAAGGTTTTTTACTAATATACAATATTTTTTAGAAGTTTTATTTCCAATAAGAAATGCAATTTTAGCAGTCGAATCAAATTATTTCACATTTGCTGACTGCTATATTAATTTGATGAAAATTGCAACAGCAATTCAAAATCTTTTTTCTAATGAGTATAAAGGATTTTACAATTATTGTATTATAAAATTTGATAATTGATTTGAAGAATTTAATGATCTGATTTATCATCTTACATATTTTTTGCATCTAGCTTATAAAGGTATTAGATTAAAATTTGGCATATTTCTTTTAATTACAAATTATGTTAGAAAATTATAACAACAGATAAGTAAATTAGAAAAAAGTTGTAAAACTTTAATAACATATTTATAATATTATAAAGAACAAAAACAGTATATAAATAGAAACTCTAATCTTTATACTGCTTCTTATTAAATTAGTAATAATACATTATTAATGTAGTAAAATACTTATGAAATTAAGTCTAACTATTTATAATATTTAGTTATTAAACTTTTTTATATTATACCAAGTTTAGCCATTTGTAAATAAATGTTTTTATTATTAGGATGAATTTATAGAAACAAATGAACTTGATTAGAAGCAGATCAACTAGAAGAATTAGCAAAAATTTATTAATTTAATTTATCAATCTTGCAGAACAACTTCATCATATTCATACTACAGAAGTAAGTCCTAAAATAATAGCAAATATTGCAGAAAGTGTTTTTAAAGAGTTGAAAGAAAAAACATTATTAGATGATGATAACATTAAATTGTCTAATTCTAGTGAAGAACTTTATCCAGATGAGCCAAATTTAAATTTAAAAATTTCAAATATTATTGGTTTTTAATCTACAGTTTTTATGTATACACATTTTAAAGCAAGTTTTAAAAATATTAACAGAAATAAATCTAATAATAACAATATGCAAGAAGATAAAGAAAGTGAATATAATGTAGATGAAATTGTTGTAAGACAATTCGATAATTTACAATAAATATAAGTAAAATAAAAATTGTACTGTATAAACTTCTTTTTTTTTACATTATAAGTTATTATTTTAATCATTTATTAGTTTATTGTAGAAAGTGAATATTTGTTTGATAAGCAAGTTTTTTTAACTCTCTTGGTAATTAAGTGATAAAATTTATACTTTGTTAGTTTAATATTTATAGTATAAATATTAATACTAATTTGTATTTATTTTACTTTTCATATTATGCCAATTTACTGCTTTTTTTTTGAACCAGTATCTACTAAATACAACTAACACTACTTCATAACATTGATAACTGAAAACTGAGAATTTCATACAGATTAATCATTATAGACTAAAAATAAAATATTTATAGCACAGCATTATTTTTTTTGCCAACTTTAATTTTCTTATTGTACAATAGTTTGTTAAAGTTAACAAAGCTCTTTATAATTTACTATTGCTATTTAATCATATATAATAGTTTATTTGTTTTTTTTTGTGATTTTATAACTTTTTTTATTTTTTTTATTTTAATGATTTCTTTATTTAGTCTAGTTTCTTAAATTGCTATATATATTAGATATACATATTTTATTATCATCTAAATATAGTTATTTTTTGCTTTTCTTTGGTATACATATAATTAATCATCTTATAACTTAATTATGTGAGAAAGTTTAATCATTGGTGCTCTCTAATTTACTATTCTGAACTACATATAAAACTTGACTTATCATATAAGCACTAAGTAGTATTATCATTATTGAAAAACTGAATTGAAACAATTTAAATATGTATCATATACATGTGCTAGCAAATATCAATATATTATATGTTCTGCTAAATTTGTAACTTACTAGATTTATCTTGAATTCAGCATTACATAATTCTAAATTTTCCTACATATTAGTTAATTTGATGTTTATTTTTAATTTTTATTTTTTTTTTTATTTTTTTTATTTTTTATTAAAGCCGATGTTATCAGTAGCTACTGCATTTATTTGTGTTTTTGGTCAATACATTACATATGACTTGTACAAGGTAAGTGTGCAACTAGCCACACATGTAACTTTTAGTTACCTATTTAAGTAGTCCACCCAAGGGTTC